CCCATGTGAAAACACCTTTCAAGAGATAGCAGATTTCAGTTTGAAGCCTAGTTATTACACATAATAAGCCAAATTCTCCACTGACGTCAGTGTGGCAGGGGTGTGAGTCACTACTGAATTTGGACTAGTTTTAGCGGAAAAGATGGGAATGATAAAATGCACCTTGGCACTGTCCTTTTAGTGAAAGCGAACTTTGCTCGAGCAAACACTTTGGAGTTACAACACTCTGGAGTGTGGGGACAGGCCTGGGCATAATAAGAATGATCTCTTTTCAGCTGCATGTTCTTCCTATGTCCAGCCAGAAGTGTTTCTGTTGTTTGAAGGAAAACCAAACCCATTATATACAGCAGACTTGCTTTTAATCAGTGTTGATTAGAAGTGATGCTGCCTACCTGCTTTGTCTTTTATTGCAGCAGGACCATCTCCTGAAGATGAGCTTTGCCATAAGTACCATTTTTTAATTATAATAATTATCTTTTTGGTTAAGCTCTGGCACAGGCTGTTTGGTAGTGTGGTTGACTACCTGACTTAACCAAATAGTTATGCCTGGCACTGCAGCTTTCTTGGCAGATAAAGCAGTAATATGGCAGTCATGCCTCAACTTCTCAGGTGGTTGCAGGTGTGCTTGCAGATGTCACCTGCAGTCGTCTGACACCATTTACTTTACAATCACCTACAGTAAAGGAGAGGAAAAAGAGCAGAGCTAAGACAGACAAACTGAACAGAGAAGTGGTGTGTCTGTTGGTAACCAGTTTTATCGGGCTATGTGCAGCTTCTGCTGAACACTTTGACCTGTAGTTAGCTTGATTTGCACTGAAATTAAAGGAATGAATTGATGTTTATGCTGCAACTCAAGAGATCAAAAGTACTTCACTAACATCTTGCTATTTAGTGTAGAAATCTGGAAATCAAGAACTGAAAATAACAAAATGAATGTTTATCTTTTGGGTATTTTAACAGGTAGGCTCCAAACTTCTGACAGAACTGAAACCACTGAAAGTGACTGAAAGACAGACAGCAGTGCTTGAAATCCACCTGGTAAACAAAACTGTAAAGCTTCACCTAGAAGTTCAATGGGAAATAGTTGAAGAGGGATGATAAGTATGAAATTATTACAACTGACACTGAATTGTCCCACACTGTGAAAATTAAGGATGTTCAGTCCAATGACTTTAAAGAACTCACATGTTAATACTGGAGATCTAGTGCAGAATGCTCTGCTCTTCATTGATTGTAAGTGATGCAAAATAACCATCTTTGAACAGTGGGTGGATCAAATGCAAGATAGCAGGGTCTGAGCTGTGAAATTCATAAAGCAAAAACAGAAAACCCCAGAGCTTGGGCTGACAAAATTGAAAGCTGCAGTCTCATAAAGCCTGTCTGTGGTTAGCAAGCAAAAAGACCTCCTTTTCCCACCTAAAGTCCCAAGCCTAGTGTCTCTCCTGAACAGAGGACCACGTTATATCCTGCAAAGGCAAAGCCACCTGTATCAGTTTATAAGGTCTTGCTGGTATGTGCCATTTTTTCTTGGCAATCCCTTCTCCTTCCTGAAAGGGATGAAGTGAGTGATTGAGAGGTCTCCTAAGTGCACCATGAGGCAAGAAGCGAAGAGAGGAGTTTATTTTTAATGCTGCTGAGCTGAGTGACTCAGGAGATTGCATAGTGACCATAGGATATGCAGCACAATGATAGTAGAGCAGTGCCAGTGTAAGTGTGGAAGGTAAGCATGAATGACTCAGGAGAGGAAGAGGAGGAGGAGTGGTTGTCTTTTCACTGTTTGTTCAGTGAACTCTGCAGAGGAGCAGTGCTACTTTGCTGTAACAGATAGGAAACTAATGTAAAATTACACTGCTCTGCAGTCTTTTTATTGTTTAACATGGAATAAGACACTAGTTTCTACCTCCTCTTGGTAATAATGAGGGACTTCCCTTTGCTGTATGAAGTGGTAGAAGCATAAAGCAGTAAATCTTCCATTCAGGTCCTTACACCTGTCACCTAAACCAGCCTAGTAAAGTGTATCATATTTTTCATTTTAATCAGCATTGCTCTAATGTATTCTTATCTTGGTTCTTTAAAGAGACCCATGGGACATTTGACTGCAGTCTGCTGAGGACCAGAAGCACAACATGAGACTGGTGAATATTTAATTTTTGTGAATTAATTTTGCAGTAGCATTATTGATGCTGTAAACTTAAGTCTATGATTTTTACAGAAATACACAAGGCTGTTAAGAAAGCCAAGAAGTTGTAAAGCTTAGCTTCATGCTGTCAGCAAAGGCTGGAGGAGAATTTCAAAGTTAGGGTGTGGATTTTAGTGTCTATTAGTCTTTGAGATGACTTCTGTTAGATGTGGACCAGCTTTCAACTATTCCCAGGGGCCTTCCATGAAAAGCACAGCATTTTAAGACCATTTCGAAATCAACTACATAGGAGGAGAATAAAATAATTGTAGTGTATCCTTCACAAGTACAGTAACAACTGAATATTCTGTTGGTAACACGGTAAGAGATCACCTGGTTCAAGCTCCCTGCTAAAGAAGGTTCAGCCAGAGCAGGCTTCATAGGATTGCATCCAGGTGAGTTCTGAATATCTCCCAAGAAAGTGACTCCACAACCTCTCTGGGCAGCTTGTTCCAGTGCTCTGTCACCCTCAAAGTAAAAACGGTTTTCCTCATGTTCAGATGGAACTTCTGTGTTTCAGTTTGTGCCTGTTGCTCCTTATCCTGTTGCTGGGCACTACTGCAAAGAGTCTGGCTTCACCTTCTTGACACCCTCCCTTCAGATACTTACAGACATCAGTAAGGTCCTCTCTCAGTCATCTCTTCTCCAGGCTAAACAGGCCCAGCTCCCTCAGCCTTTCCCTATCAGTGGGGTGCTCC